TATATTTGGTAGAAAATATGCCTTTGTCTATTTAATTTGAGTATAAAAAAGTTTATCTGTCATTTCAACGAGATTTATTAAATATTGCTAAATTAATTTCGATGTAGTGTTAATAATAATCTTATTAATAGATAGAATTATTTTATATGGACTAAAATAATGGTATTAAATTTAGATTTAGGAGACAAGGGAAAGTTCTTTAGGAAGTTTTTTTTTAACAATTACAGGTCATGATAGGCAGATGATGTACATTTATTAGCGACTGGCTCTTCATGGTGACGTGACTCGTGTATTTTGTGAATCCTGTGACATCTGATCGATAAATGTCAGTCGTTAAAAGGGGAAGGTACATAGACACCCCTTGACGCTCTATATACAGGTGGGGTGGGGTCAAGAGATCAACCAATGACCGGACGTGGGGGTCCGGGGTCCACTTCCTGTGATATTGTTTTTATAATTATCGCACTACACTGATTTCCGCCAGGTGAGCCCTCGTTGCTCCAATATATTTATCACATTAGGTACATATGTGTATATATTGTACCGAAAACTTCTTTCCCCTTCACTAAAAATATAACTAAAAAATATATGAATGATTTTCTATGTAGTAATTGCAATGAGGTGTTAAAAAAGGCTTATATTTTTAAAATGAGATATTACGTATGCGAAAATTATCATCTAGTTTATTTACGTTCTTATAATAACAATTAAAGTACGCTGTATCTATTAATTGGTAGCTTAAGTCACAAACAGACGGACCAGCAAATTGAGTGTAATATTAATAGGGAGTGTAAATGCTTGTAATGCGACCATCAACAATTGTCCCAAGAACATCTATTGTTACATACAAATTAGTTGTAAGCTTCTGAGAGGAAGTTGGAATTAAGACATGAACTTGCCGGATACTGCTCGTTGTAAGATCAACTAAATCTTTGTGGGCACGCGAATCGTGATGTACTAACGACTACGGTCTGGGTAACATGATGATATAAGTAACAAAATAGTTTACTTTTAATTATAAGACGTAAAAAAATGTGTTTTTGTATAATGCTGTTATTTTTTTGTCTAACTTTAGTTAAAGCGTCAGTGTATGAAAAATTATGAAGTAATAATATTTATTTGAACCAAAGAAAATCAAATTACTTTTTTCGTACAACTAAATATATACTGAAATTATATTTTGAATTATGTTATTGTGTATGGTCATCTGTAATGTTTAAATATGATCTGTACCATGACTCATGAGCTATTAAAAAACTGTAACACTGGAAATACTAAGAAGGTTTTATAGGGAATCTTGAAATATATGAATATCCTTTTAATTCATTGGCAAAGAAAAGTTTCAGCTTTGATTAATAAACACTAATTTTTCCCAGTATTCTTATCATAATATTTTCCCAGTATCCTTTTATTTACATATGTTTTATAGAAAAATAAAGTTAACTATTACCGTACTATCCAAAGATGTAGGCTTAATTCACAAAATTATGTACGTAATTATTTTCCTTAAATTGTCAAGTTCAATTCGTGTTCATCAAGTTGTTAGGTACGCTATATATATAATGAACAGTCCAGAACATTCTTATTAAATCATTACAATAATCGTCTATACAAGTTATTAATTCCCCGCGTATGTTATTTTAATGTACGTACCACCGAATTGATTAGTAAACCCACAGCTAGTAGCTAGTAGCTACAAATCGTTGGCTATTTGTCAATGTTAGCGGAGTGCAATAACGCGGTCTTGTAATTCCTGGATTGCCCCCTTCATTGTTCCACGAAATTGGAGACGTGATTAATTTGTTTTAACTCCCTCAATGTTTGTTACCAAATAACTAAAAACCCTACTGTTTGAACAGCTCCAGCCGGATTTGTATGTGTGATGGATCTATTAATGATGGTTATGGAGTCCTGATTGTTCGGTGACTCCGCAAATAGTCTAAGATGTTTGTGATGTTGGTATCTTTAACTAATTTGTATAATTGTAATATAAAGGAATTTGAACTTTATACTGTAGATGTTAAGTTTCATAATTAAAAGACTGAGTGAGTTTTTAATTCTTTTAATTAGTTATTTTTCAGCGGTTGCTTGAATAATTTTTTTAAGAGTTGATAATGAAGTCCATGACAACTTCTTATCGTGGGGACTTTAAAAGAACAAGATATTTTTTTTGGGGGTTTCAGGGTTGGCACTTTTAAATAAAACATAATAGTGCTTTATTAATTAAAATTTGTTTATAATACATTTAATATATGCGAGTGTGGTTGTGTTTGTTATTCTTTGAGGGCTTCATCTGCTTGTACAAATACTCAGGATATCTTTGTAAAGGGTTGAGTGAGGAATGGGATAACTTACATCCAGAAAGAAGAAATTTCTTGGAAATAATTTAGTTAAGAGTACGTAACTTCTTGAATCAACTGCGCTAACTGCCATTTACTCTAAATTGTGTGTATGTATGTATATCTATAGCTTTCCTTCTCGGGCTGTGTCGAAGAAGGCGTCCCGGGAGATCTCGTTATATCGTTTAATTACTTACACACCTCCTTGCCGCAATTAGACATTATTTACTTACAAATATACAACCTTGTCGCTTTATCTTTTATCATCAACACTTCCGCGTCTACTTCAGAGAGGGCGGAAAATTACTCGGATAAGGTTACCAAAACTCCGGTTACAAAACAAGAGTTTAAATTAAACCGCTACGTCTGGGGGCGATTGTCAACGGGTTAATTTAAGGAGTTCTTTCACCGTTGATAGCGGGAATGTGCTCCGGTTTACCGTTCAGGGTCTGATGGGATTTATGACCTTAGAAATACAGAGGAGATAGCGGCAGGGTTGCTTGGGAAGATTTTATTGCTTGGATAACCTTAAATAGACATAAATCACATTAATTGTCTACTTACTGAAATCTGTTTTTAAAGATGACTAACTTGAGAAAGTCACTTCATAATAATTCGTTAAATGAAACTAATATTTTTGGATTATACAACTCGTACTTTCTTTTTAATTCCCAAAAAGAGTTGCTGACAGGCAGACGGCCGGTCGTAAAAACAATTAGCCAAAACTATTCACAACATGTAAGGAAGACTCAGGCTAAAGCTGGGAAATTGCCAGGTAGAAGAAGACAACGCGTACTTTTATTATTTAAAAAAAAAACTATACTCCCGATGTTTTAGTAACTTTACAGCAACCGTGATTATTGACAGACGACATGTTAAAAACAATAAAGACATAATCCAAAAAAATATTAGTTTCATTTAAATGAATACATACTTGTGAGTCTTAGATTTTAATTTCGTTAAAACTATAGTTCACTTGAATAAAGTTGTTACTATACTATTTATATAAGAATGACACTTCTATTAAGAAGATCGTTTAATATACTTTTGAGGTCAGTCAAGATGGTATTAAATGTATTTAATTAATGCCCACCTCTATTTAGATTCAGTCCGGTAGCGGAGCCAATAAATCACTTGTACATCTGTGATTTAGAACTAAAGATTAGAAAAACATATTTTAATATTATGTCGTCTATACCAAAACATACGTAGAAAATATTAGTATATCTTGGAGTTAATTAAAACTTATTGTATATAATTTTCTTTTCCGAACCGGTGGTAGTCTCAAATGACCATCAATAAGAAAGTGTAATACTTCTATATTGAATAAAGTTGTTTGAGTTTGAGTTTGAGTTTGAGTTTCAATGAAAGAAACTATATGAGAATTTTTATAATAGGTGAAATAAAATATCGTGAAGAAACCTGGTTTGATAATTTCAAATTATAAGCTTGAATTCGCCAATCCGTCTTGAGTAAGCGTGATGATTTATGCTCAAACCTTCTCCATGTGAGAAGAGGCTATGCTCAGCAGTGGGCTCAGATAGGCGGATGATGATGGCACATAGTGATTAAGAACTATAGTTTATATTGAATATTAAATATTAGTATAGTTCGGTTAACTAAGAAATTATGATAAAATTGTTTTACTGGAAAAATTACCGATGTAAATTATGGTTCAGTTAGTTGTAATATATTTCAGGATTTTTCAGGGTTTTTTCAGGATTTTCTAATTCAGGAAATTCTGTTTCGAAATCTTTTATTTATATTGTTTTGATGGTATTTTAGCCACATATATTTAATATATTTCTCTAAGTTATAGCTTATGTTAATATATATGATGTCTTGAAAGTTCTATGTAATGTAATTAAAAGTAAGAATCATTCATCCTCATATATCTTACCAGATGTCCCCAATTACTTCAACAGGCCGGTGACCATAAATTATCAAACGTTAAGGCCAAATTGTCCCAAATCCCGTGTCAATCGGGGATTATCCCGGACAATTGCTGGTAAGCCCACAATATTATTCGGACACTATTTATATCTACTGGCTACCCTCTACGACCTGCACACCCTTCAGACCTAGCTGCGAATGATAAAGGTGTATTAAGTAAATTGTTTTGTTCATTTATAACTTGTAGTATTTAGTATGGAAAACAATTAAAGATTGTAAATAAATATTATGAGGAATTATGCATGTTATACATATTTATAAATTCGATTAGATTTTAATATATTGTTGCTTAAACTAAAATAATAAAGACATTTTTAAACGGCGCATAAATTACATTCATATAATAAAAACAAGTGATAAAAAAACAGTTTAGCAATCACAAAGTCGCTCCCAATTAGCTAAGTGGACCTGTAATGAGAGATTAGCAGGCACCTGAGTCGGCCGGGCAAAATATGCCATAACTCAAGCGGGCAACCGGGTATAATTCACCCGGATCGCGGCAAATAAATTCGTCAGCGTTAGGCGCTACTGTACAGACTAAAGAGGAATTTACCTTCATAATCCTTTTGAGAGCTCTACAGCCGTTTGACTTAATAAATATAGGGTGGCGGTCAGACAAACAATTGTTTTACTTAAAATTATGATTTAATATAGATATTGGCCTAATAAGCTTATGCGTATGAATCTAAGTCTGTTATAGCTAAATGTTTACAGTGTGCTATTTAATTTACTTGTCGTACTGGGACGGTTTAATGCGCTGTCGTCTACAGTCCTTTTTTGCAAGTTTTTCATAGTCGAGTCATTTTTATTCGTATTGTTCAATGAGAGTGTAGAACCAGGATTGCTATATTCGTTGTAATTGTCCGTTTTGGTTTCCTTGACAGCAAGTCTCGGGATCCTGCTTGGTTTTTTTATATCATCATTAGATTTTCTGTAGCTAGTGATGCCTACTTTAATTTCTGTTTCTGGTCTATCTATTTTTATTCGTAGTAGAGGATGATCTGGTTGAGTTTGAGGCTTTTTATTACTTTCTATTCTACTGTCATACTTTTCTCCAGCCTGGTCATGTATTTCAGTTTGATTAATCTCAATATCTGGGCTAGTTTTAGTTTTACATGGTGTTTTTTCTCGTCTCCTCGACCTTCCACTTCTAGTTGGAGGCTCATTATATGTGACTTTCTTTGGTTCGTGTTTGTTGGCGTTTGTATTCATAGGGCCGGTGCAGTCTTCAGAGCCAGAGTATTTCTTTTTAATTCCCGATGCCAGACAACTTTTGCAGTCAGACGTCGTTCTCGTAGTGGGAGGTTTTAATGTAACTACCTCCTGGGAGTATAGCGTTTGTTTTGTAGATTTTCGGTTTTCTTTTACGGGAGTAATACTTTTATTTGTTTCCATGATCTCCCTTGATGTAATGGACCTTTCTCTCATCTCGTTCACATTCTGGTATATATTATTTATTTGTGAATTTGAAAATTCATCTTGTAGGTCCATAAAGTTTGATCCGAACTCTGGCAAAATTTTCTTCAATGATGATTTTCTTGGGACTTCATTAACGAGAGTCAGTTGTTCGCTGGCGCTCTTGTTATTGGACTGGCTGCTATAACTCCTTCTCATCCTACAGTCATAGGGCGGAAAATGAACATCTACTTCCAAATTCCTCGGTCTCGGCTTCAGCAGCAATTTAACACCTCCCGAACCTTTATTATCTCTGTAAGAATGGTCACTCATATAACGATTTTTGGATGAATCTGTAGAAACTTGATTGATGTTAAACTTATGTTTCCTCTTGAAAAATTTTTTAAAGCATTTCTTGAAGAACGCCCGTTTGTTCTTTCGTCTTGAACGTATGGCACAGATCACGGCTATCAAAATGCATATTATTTCTATCAGCAGTATTGTGTATACAATCATATATTTCGTAGACATACAGTTTATTGGTACTCCTAGTGAGATCATTTTATTTCTAATTTTTGTTAAGTTGTCATCCAAAGCGTCTGTTACTTTGCTATAGAAATTTTTAGTTCGGTTCATCAGTATAAGAATGCCTCCAAACGCTACGTACAAATTATCATCATTTAAATGTGGTGCCACGTCGTTTACTAACCACGTCTGAAATCTAGCATTGAATTCATCTAGTTTCTGTGGACTTTGAGTTTTAATACATTTGTTAGCGATATCGTAATATTTGAGTATAGTTTTGGATGAGTTGGGAGACGTTACTGAGATCAGTGACTGGTTTTTTAAAGGCACGAATAACATAGATGGTGACAGGCTCCAATTTATTACTGGTAGCGGAATAGCTAAGCCTGAGTCGGTCTTTTCTAGATATGTTAATTCTTTGCAAGGTTCTTTCATGCTCCTTGTGTAGAAGAAATGCATCGGAGACGCAATATTGATGGCGACAGAGTTGAGTAAGTTCTCATTTGGACTGCGCCAGCCTCGGCCGTCTGTTTTTAATTTAGCTTTTATATCATCGTATACTTGGAAGATACTTGCAGCTCTTTCTAATGAGACTGTACCGCCGTAGTACGCGTATTTAGTTATCGGTAGGACCCACAGTTTAAGATATCCTCCTAGAGCATCTGACAGAGCAATGTTCATTATATTATACATTGCTGGATTCTTTACTTCTCTCTTCACCGTTGTGTAAGATGTTTGGAAGTATTGAAATAAATTAGCTACATATCTTTCGTTTATCGTTCCAGCTAGGTACGCAGATGGTATTAGCTTCTGAAAATGTTTTCTAGCCTGCAGCAAACTTATTCTGGATCGCGTCCATCTTTTTGAATTGCTATCCGAATGTTTAAACAGAACTGTACCTACATTCGGAGACTCATTTTCCGGAGCGTAATTTGCGAATACTTGGCTTGATAAAATTAATATTAAACAAACATACATTATATAAACAAAATAAACTATTAAAAACTTGGATACATGCTATTTAAAATCATTTTTAACATTAATGACAATCAATTGCCAGTTTGAATAGTTTTTTATCTGCGTCTTAGTAACAGATAACGAAGTGGCATATGAATAATTTATGTAAGATGCATAAGTGAGTTCATTTATTTTATGAGTTTTAAAAGTTTAAGAGGTTAAGATATTTTTTGTAGAGTATTTTTTGCGTTATATTTATTTCCGTATCCATGTATAGATAGCGTGGCATCATCTCATGATAAGCGTGGTACATGCGAGTCATTTGTCGATGTTTCAGGTGGGAGAACATGAATCAGGGCGAATTGTTTAATTAAATATGGATTACACGCGGCTCTGTTAGTTTAGATGCGTGATATGTTTGATTTATTTGTACATTTTAATTAATGGACGGATTTAATATGTATCTTGTTAGTTCAATCACAACCTGTTACATTTTTATGTGAAAAGTTTTCATTATTTTTCTTCGTATATTTATAAAATACTAGCTGACCTGGTGAACTTCGTATCGCCCTATAATCAAGAAATATCTATTACGTTTTTTTATTTATATTTTTGGAGTTTACCTGTAAGCCATAAATCTCCGTGTTTTGAAGTGCGACAGAATGATTGACATATTAGTTAGTTGTCAAATCTAATGTCAAAAAAAACGTTTATATGGGAAATAGAAAAGGGCTGTTTTTATGGTTTTCCCAGTAATGAATCAATTTTTTCAGCTTTTATACCTTCCCTGAACCTCCACGAACATTTCAAGACTAAAATAAGATAAAACCGTTCAGCTGTTCTCGAGTTTTATCGAGACTAAGGAACAGCAATCCATTTTTATATATATAGATAGAAGATAATTGTGGTTAATATTGACTACACTTATATGACCAAATGTTTGGATAGTTTATCTATGTTGAAAGGTAATCTGGTATTGAAGGTAGGGCCTGCCGTGACAATTATGTAGTCCTGACAATGTGATAATCTGTGGTGAGAGGACAGATGGTCTCCATTAGCCACAGATTAAATAATATGAGAAATATTATGAATAATACATATACGATTAAGTTGGTTGTTTTAAATATGGCCTTCATGCTTTCAAAGATGTGCACAATATATTCAGCCAAATAAACGATTAAATAAATTTGAATTGTCAAGTGTCATAGACAATTTTTTTACGCTGTCTTCATTAATAGACTATAATTTTTGTCAAATTACTGTTTTTATGATATAAGAACTCTTTATTATTAAATCGTATTAATTAATATTGAGTAGCATTTGTGTTAATATACAAATCGCTATCAAATTCATATTGAATGTAACCATATTCTGTTATATATTCTGACATGTTGATTACGCGGCCATTAATGGCACAACAGTATTATGTTTCGTCATTAGGGATGTATTAAGGGTTATCCGGATACCCCATGAACATGAACGGCCTTGAAAACATTGATAACACAATTACTGATAATTGGTTCGTTATAAATACCGAACTAAGATTTACGTAAGGAACTATTAAGATCGCATTTATTTATACAGTACGTTGAGGCGAGAATCGAATGTCTATAGAATCGATTACACAATAATAATCGCTACTATATTTAATGTTATAAATGCGAAAATAACTCTGTCTGTTTGTTACGCTTTCACGCCTGAACCACTGAACTGATTTTAATGAAATTTGGTACAGACATAGAGTTGACCTTGAGGAAGAACATAGGATAGTTTTTATCCCAGACTTTTTAAGGTTCTCTTGGAAACGCGATATAACCAAACTAGCCTCGAGCGGAAAGCTAGTATAAGTAGATATATCGATTTGAAACGTATACATATTTGGAAAATAGGTAACGCTTAATCTTTTTTACATATATTTAATTTAAAAAATAATATTACTTTTCATTGTTGTCGATAATGAAGGAACTTGTAACTTAAAATCAGCGTATTGGAGACTTAGTTAAACGTTTTCATAGACTTAATTCTAAGTGGACCATTACTTAAAGAATATAGATATTAATATTAGAAAAATGATGGAAAACAGTCAGTAGAGGTGAGTGTTGGGTCCTGTAATTAGTGGTGTTGTGATTTATTGCCTTTTACCCACTAGCCCTTATTAGAACTGACTGTGACAAGGATGTACGAAAAGAAACAATTGCTGGATATGACAATATCTTTTTTTTTGTTTTGTTACCGGTTTAGCTTCCATGTAATATTCTTATCCAACATAAATATCTTAGTACTCTTTTTCTTTTTCGTGTTTGGAAATTGTAGATATAATATTGTTGAAATAGTTTTCGGATTATACTACATAGGTACTCATGTTTTCAAAAATAATAAATTAAGCGTAGTATAATAAAAAAAATATTAAATTCATTTAAATGAATACTCGCGAAAGTCTTAGATTTCTTTATATAATATTGTTATTTTTGTATCACATATGAAAGTAATACTTACACGATAAAGTTTAGTAAGGAAACTATATAATATATAATTATCACTTCCAGTTTTCCTTGTATCGTGCGTAAGAAGCTCTCAAAGCGTGAGGGATGATTATAAATTCTTAATGCGGTAAGGAATACATGTTAACCACGGCCTCTGTTACACCGTACACCTTACACTGAGTCTGAGTTCATTATATATAAACTGTGTAACATGTACCGTGCGTGTTATATAAAAAACTCCAGCATCCCACAATTATTGTCGCGATTCGATCTGTGATGATTGACAGCTAATAACCGTAGATTTCCCATGGGCGCGTTCCCCTCGCCGGCCTCACGGTGTCGTCTTAGCGCTATGGTGACAAATCATAGCTTACTTACTTGTTTTTATTTTCCACTACCTTTCCGACCCGCAGCTTCGCCCACTTGGAGTTCGGTTATATCGCGTTTCCAAGAGAACCTTTCAAAAGTCTGGGATAAAAACTATCCTATGTTCTTTCTCAAGGTCAACTCTATCTGTACCAAATTCCATTAAAATCTGTGCAGTGGTTTATGCGTGAAAGCGTAACAGACAGACAGAGTTACTTTCGCATTTATAATATTAGTAGGGATAAATATACAAGATCTTATAGTATTAAGCCAATATAATTCAGTTAATACAATATATAAAGAGGTTTTAATTCAATAAGTGTATGTTTAAAGGAAATTGCGCGCGAAAAATGGCATTGAAAATACAGATTTTTAAGAATTTTTGAATGTAAAAGTGCGGCTTGCGTCGGAAATTGACTCAGACTCGATTTCCAGTTGTAATCCGCCCGGAAATCTGCAGACAGACATCTCGCTTGCGTGTGTATATTTTTTATATAACATATATTGATATAGAAGAAGACGGTTGAGATTATTTACTAAAAATATATTTTTTTATTTATGTATGTTTCATTTCATAATATTAAGCTGTAAAAGTTGTGCCGTCGTTCGAATGATAATGATAGACAAAAAAAATATAACTGTCAATGTCAAATACCAATGATGACATTTTGACTATTTCTTTTTCATTTTATTTAATTTAAAACATAAAAAACCAAACTCGTAGAAGCACAGATTTATATTTTATTTTTTTGAACTTATTACTCTATTTCCCGTGACCTTTCCAGCCCTTAAAGCCGCTTCATTAGCTCGCCCGAACAAAATGAATTGTTGAGTGGTTTCCAAATGTCAATACAAATGGAATAATAAATGAGAAATGGATCAGGACGTAATGCTGCTTCAATATTACAAATAGTAATTCATTAAAATTTTAATGTTATGTACCTACTGCATCTTGATTTTAGAAGTATTTCTGTCTATTTATTGTACTTGAATAAACAGTCGTAATTTCGTATTTGTAGGTACAGTTTACGTAATAATCAAAAACCCAGGTGTATGTCAATCACATATAACAATATAAAAGATTCATAAAACGTCGTTTTTATAACGAGTAACGCCAAGTGCGGCGGCTATGCGCTCTGTTGATTCGAAAAATCATTGCTATTTTTTAGCGACGGAATATGGACATTTTTAATGAATTAGGATGACACAATAATTATAATAATGTATGTATAAATTAAAAACAAATTCACAAAATGTTTTGTATGATTCAAAAATAAAATAATAAAAAAACGAAAAAGACATTTGGAGGTGCTGGGATTTGAACCCAGGACTTTCAGCATGCGAAGCAGACACTCTACCACTGAGTTACACCCCCGGTTATGAAATAGTTTGAAATTACCGTTCTATTACTTCAAATAGAAACTTTAAGTAAGATGACGTAATATATATGAACTTAAAAAAAATATTACGCTTACTGAGTAAGCGCTTTTTATGGTGCGTTATTGTACTAGTGCATATATTTATAAAAGAAACAAAAGAATATTATACATTTGACTAAATATAAATAATGGAATATAATAAATGTATAGCACATTATATTTTTAAACATAATAAATTTAGTTAAAACAAATAATTAAAAAACATCCGCTAGATGGCGTTAAAACAAAACAAATGCAAATCATTGAAATAGTTTACGGAGTTGGTTATCGTGTGTTATGACAGCACAGCTTACATAAAACAAAACACACAATGATGGCGTTTTAAATTTAAAATAAGCCGACTCACTAAAACATACATGACAGCAGATTACAAAATTAAATGCATAAAATAATGATTAGTTATGATATAAATAACTTTAATTTATAATCAAAAATAAAACATTTTTATCGTCGCGCGTAATAAAACGATTTAATTTATAAAAAAGCCGCAACCGCATCGTTGGTGCGTGAAAATCGTATCAAAATGATCACAGCATTGTAACACCCCGACACAAGTAACCCCTTGTGGGTATTGACTTTTGATTAAAGGGCTCTCAGATATGTGGGTCATTAAAAAAAATAGTTTTTATTAGTGTTTTATAAGGCGAATGATATTAAATTTATTACGAAGATTTTGTAGATATATAGCGTAAGTAAGGTAGAATTTAGATGCTGCCCTAAATGAAGATTTTGG